ACACTTTTCCTTCTTATATATTATTTCTTCTCTTGATTCAAAATATTTAAAAAATTTAACATTTTATACAAAAATTAAAAAACTAATTTACATTTTCAAAAGAAATAAATGAATCATTATACTATTTTTTTCTTTTAACTAAAATTAATAAATTTATTAATTTATATATTTATTTAATTAACAAAATTAAGCTGGGATTAAGAAAATTACTTTCCTTTATTTGATGGCATAGCTAGGTGTAAGAATATCAAAACCTTTTTGATTTATGCCTTTCCATATTACTAGTAAATAAATTATAATTATTTTAATTTTGATTAAGTTCTGAATGATTAATAAATTAATAAATAAAAATTTAAGATTAAATATTTTGGATTAAATTTGTGGTTTTTGGTTTCTGTAAAATTAATTTTTTCTTTGAATATTGCTTATAAATAGAAAAAAAACACTAAATACATTCAGAAAAACTTTTAGTTAACTCATAACCAAAATCGAAATCAATAAAATTTGATCTAAAATTAATGAAAATTAAAGGATTTAATTAAAAGATAGATTTTAATAATTTAACATAAATAAAAACAAAAAAATTTATTATGAAATAAACTATCTGTCAAATAAAATATATGAGACGAAAAAAAATCTATAGAAATATGACAGATAATTGTTTGCAAGAAAATTTACCTTAAATTAATAATTTTTTATTTAATAACAGATATTTTAGAGTTGCCAACGTAGAAAAGAAAATCTACAAAAAATTGAGAAAGATAAAATCTCTTGTTCACAAATAAATTTTGTATAAAAATTTAACTGAAGAAACTTTTGCTCTTTGAAATTCAAATAAAAATTTAAAGTTAAATTAGCTAAATAGTATTATTATGTATTTTTTATATGATAAACTGAATATTTATTAGCAGTTTGTTTATTTATTTAAATCAATTTATTTTTTAAAAACATAAAATTATTTGATTAAAACAAAAATACTTTTTGTAAGAATAATTTACAAAAAATAATTAATTAGTAAAAAATAAATAAAAGTAGAATTACAAAATAAAACTAATTAAAATATATGTTTATTAATAAAGAGTATAGCCAAATGCCATTCAAAAATTTAGGGATTTGAGCTGGATTATTTACTATTTACAGCTGATTATTTTTTAAAGAAATTGAACTCGTTTATAATATTAAAAAAATATTCATTAATTCTATAATATATATTATAACTGTCATGTATATTTTGTTGATTATACTTTATATTTAAAAGCGAAGATACTAATTGACCATATTTTAATTTTAACAATGAAATAGTTAAAAATATCAAATAATATTGGTTTAGAAGTAACAAAATAATAATTGTCGTTTAAAGTCATAAATTTTTTCATCTTTTAGAATATGAATTGTGAAATACTATAAAAATAAGTTTCATTAATTACATGAACTATGTTATAAACTATAGTCTTGCTTTGCGATAATACTTTATAATCTCAAAAAATAGATTCCTAATACGATTAATTTATATTTAATTATTGTAAAAATATAAATATAAATGATAAATTTTATTCAGGTTTAGATATTAAAAATGATATAAGTATCTTAATAACTATTTAAAATAAGAAATTATGTGCTTTTTTATTGTTTAAATGATTAAAAGTTTTAGGCTTAAAAGTCTTCATTTTTGCTTGCTATTTATTTTAAATAGCCTTTTTGTTTGTTTTTGCGTTTTATTCGATAATCTGATATATGATGTAATTTTGTGTTGTTTTGCTTTGCTTTTTATTGATTAATCTGATATCATCGATGATGTCATTTTGGATTGCGTGATGATTAGAAATATATTAATAAATAGGCAGATATATATTTTATTGAAATAACGATCTAAGATAGAATATTTGTTATTTATAATTTTTGTCTGTTTAATATTCTAATTGAAAATTAATTAATTTACACCACTTCTTTACAGAAAATAAATAAACATTTAAAAAGTTAAGAAAAGCTGCTTATTGGAACATAATTTAATTATTCAAATTAATTTGTTAGATTAATAAAAATATCACAAAATTAAAAAATGGAAATTGACATCTAAAATCTTTAGGAATCTTAATAGGTTTTGCAAAAATTGGAATTGCATTTTCAAAACAGGAAGAAAATTAAAGAAATGTATCAAAACAAAGGCGTTTAAATGCTTGATAAGGATGAACTACTTGGTAAATGAGATTTGTTTTCAATAATAATATTTAGAGATGGGAATCTAAAGTATCGATATCATCAAAATGAATGGAAATTGAATAATAAATATTGATTAGTTTATATTCTTTCTCTTATTTCTATTCATTTTGATGATATCAATACTTTCGATTCCCACATCTAATAATATTTTATGAGTTAGATAATAATTTCTATTGAAGCATTTATATTACCAGTTTATATCTTTAAAATTAAATATATTTTAATCATTACAATAATCAATAAATTTAAAAATTAATCAATTTATAACAAATTTAATAAATTCTTAACTTGATAAACCAAAAGTTTCTGATATTGAGGAACCTAATTTGGGTATTGGACAAGCTTCAATTTATGAAAACATGAAAAGAGAATTAACAGAAAAAGGCTACTCTGATTTTAGGTTTTTAGGCTAGGGATTATAGGGATTAGTAATGCTAGCTAAAGATTCGAAAAGTAATATAAGATATGCCATCAAAGGTGTTTAAGTGAGAGATGATAAGGGAAAAGTTTATGATGAAGTTTAAAATCTAGTAAAAAATGAAATAGATATACTCTAAAATTGTAGAGGCTCACCTTATGTTGTCAGTCTTTTAGGCTCATTTGAAGGAAAATTGTTTACCTACTTGGTTCTATCTGAGTGTTAGGGTAAAAAATAAATACCTACATATCTATTTATCTATATATTATCTTATTATTATTAAATAAATAAATAAAAATATAAATTAATTAATTAATCATTAAACTCATTATATAGAAAATTTTTAATTCATGATATAAAAAGGAACTCTCACTGAAATCATAACAAAGAGCTAAAACAAAAGACTGAACGAAATATCAGCAATCAAATATGCTAAAGATATTACTGAAGGTATTTACTACATTCACTCTAAGGGGTATCTTGCTAATGATCTGAAAATGGAAAATATCTTAATTGACTACAATGGAAATGCCGTTGTCTGTAAATTATTAAAAAATCTAAACAAAACTTGATACTCTAAAAAATATTTGTTTATTATAGCTGATTTTGGATTAGCAGCTAAACTGACAGTTAAATCAGAATATTCAGAAGATGAATATGTAAAACAAACTAATATTTTCGCCCATAATAATATGAAGTTTAATTAATTCAATTCAAAAAATTTTAAGATGGGAAACTTTTATTATCAAGCACCAGAATGCTATGGCCCAAATGACAATATAGGTAAGGTTTATTATGATGAATATAAAAAACAAGATGTATAGGTGTAACAATTACCAAGCATTAGAGTAAATAAATACATTAGATAAATAAATTAATTAAATATTAATTATATTGTTTTTTGTAAATTAATTAAATAGAGTGAAGCATTTTATTTAGGTATTAAATAAAATAAATAAATTACTGAATTCATTTAGCTAATATAAAAAATATAAATAGGATATCTTATTTATTCTCTTGTCTAGGGAATAGATTTGAAACTTATATTTAGTAAGCATCAGCCCTTGGATTATAAAGAATTTTAAAATTTTGGTTATCACAAATAGCTTTAATATTTAATTAATGAATTAACTTAATTTGTCCCAAGGAAAAGATTGCCCATTTTTGAGGCTTTAATTGTTTTAAAAGGAATTATTTGTATTGAATTTTAGTTAGATGACATGTTTATTGATATGATAGATGGAAACACTCAACAGTTTACTAGCTCACTCAAAAATGAAATTGAATTCGTTGAGGATTTTCCAAATAAGTTTTATCCCATTGTGTAACAAAAATTTTTCTAATTTACTGCTTTTTCTAACTACTTTTAAAGTAAAAACGAATAGAGCTTACTCTAAGAGTTGTAAGAGTTGAAAGAAGACATTCAAAAAAAAGTTTATGTTATTAATCAAAGTTTTATTCAAGCTATCCTCAATTTATTCTAAATAATTCATTAAAAAGGATGCAAAAAAGGAATAATAAGAAAAAGTGAGCTAATTAGAAGTAAATATTAAATTTTTATTAGACGAATCTTAATAAGCTTATACATAATTAATTAAAAAATAAATATCAGATGATGATGATGAATATGGATAGTACAGTTCTTTTATAAAATAAACTGTAATAGAAAAAATATGAAAAAATGCAAAAAAATTAATTATATTTTCAAAAAAAAGCCCGTAATTAATATTTAAGAATAATTTTTGAAGAGAAAATAAATGATGAATTAATTAACTTTCATATTTAAAAGCAAGTATTTAATATTTTAGATTGATTTTTGATAAGAAAATAAATTATGAATTAATTTTAGTATTCAGAATAGGCCGTAATTAATTTTTGAGAATGTTTTTCGATGAATGAGTAAAAAAATGCTGAATTAACTAAAAATCATATTCAAAATAGTGAGTAATTAATATTTTAGAATGATTTTTAATGAGAAAATAAATGATGAATTAAATTTGATAATTAAAATAGGCAGTAATTAATTAATATTTTAGAATTATTTTATATGAGAAAATAAATACTAAATTAATTTACATAATAAAAATAGGTGGTGATTAATTAATATTTGAGAATTATTATTGATGAGAAAATTAATGATGAATTAACTTTCAAATTCAAAATAGGAGGTAATTAATAATTTTGAACGATTTTTGATGAGAAATAAGTGTTGAATTAGTTTTCATATTCAAAATAATAGGTAATTAATACTTTAAAAATTATTTTTATTCAGAAATAAATGCTTAATTAACTTTCATATTCAAAATAGGCCGTAATTAATATTTTATAATGATTTTTGATGAGAAAATAAAAGCTGAATTCACTTTCATATTCAAATAGATTGTAATTAATATTTTGAAATGATATTTGATAAAAATAAATGTTAAATTAACTTTCATTTTCAAAATAGATAGTAGAATGATTTTTGATAACAAAATAAATCTGAATTCGCTTTCATATTCAAAATAGGCAGTATTTAATATTTTAGAACAATTTTAGAATTCAAAATAATTTTTAAATAACTTTAATATTCAAAATAGGGAGTACTTAATATTTTAGAATTATTTTTTATCAGAAAATAAATGCTGAATTGATTTTCATATTCAAAATAGGGAGTAAATTATATTTTAGAATAATTTATGATGAGAAAGTAAATGCTGAATTAATTTTAAAATTAAAATTAGGAAGTAATTAATAATTGAGAATGATTTTTGATGGAAAAATAAATTACTGAATTTACATTCATATTCAAAATAGAATGTAATTAATATTTTACAATGACTTTTATGTAAAAATAAATGCTGAATTAACTTTAATATTCAAAATAGGAGGTAATTAATACTTTTTTAAAAGATAATAATAATGCTTAATTAACTCTGATATTCAAAATAGGCCACCGTAATTAATATTTTATAATGATTTTTGATGAAAAAATAAAAGCTGAATTCACTTTCATATTCAAATAGATAGTAACTAATATTTTAGAATGATTTTTGATGAGAAAATAAATGTTGAATTAAAATTCAAATTTAAAATAGGAAGTAATTAATATTTCATAATGATTTTTAATCACAAAATAAATACTGAATTAACTTACTAGATAGTAATTAATATTTTACAATGATTTTGATGAGAAAATAAATGATAAATTTAACTTTCACATTCAAAATAGGCAGTAATATCTTTTTTATAATGATTTTTGATTAGAAAAAAAATGTGTTAACTTCCATATTCAAAATAGGCCGTAACTTATCTTTTAGAAAGATTTTTTATTAGAAAAGAAATGCTGAATTAACTTTCATATTTAAAATAGAATGTAATTAATATTTTAGAATGTTTTTGATGAAAAATTAAATGATAAATTAATTTTCATATTCAAAATAGCAAGTAATTAATATTTAATGAGAGAGAAAATAAATGCTGAATTAACTTTGATATTCATAATAGCTTGTAATTAACAGTTTAGAATGAATTTTGAAGACAAATTTCATATTAAAAATAGGCTGTAATTAATTTTAAAATGATTTTTGATGAAAATAAATGCTTAATTAA